AGTGTGTGTGTGTGTGTGTGTGTGTGTGTGTGTGTGAGAGAGAGAGAGAGAGAGTGTGTGTGGGCGAGTGAGTGAGTGAGTGAGTGAGTGAATAACTGAATGGATGCCATGTTTGTGCATGAGTGTATTCTAAATCTTTCATAAAATCCTGTCGTCTGGCTGTCAACCATTATAGTCGTTCGTTTCTGACGTTCTGCTGTGTATCTGATGCCATTTCATTTCTTCTTTCCCATTGGTAGGCCGAAGAAAAACGCCGTGTGTCAGAGAGCGAAGGCAAAAGTGAGTAATAGGCCCATCAGACCACTGATAAGCAAACATACTTGCAGACTCACAAACTCAAACTAAACCAACATACTTGCATACTAACAACCTTAAACTAAACAAACATACTTGCATACTAACACCCTTAAACTAAACAAATATACTTGCATACTAACACCCTTAAACTAAACAAACATACTTGCATACTAACAACCTTAAACTAAACAAATATACTTGCATACTAACACCCTTAAACTAAACAAACATACTTGCATACTAACAACCTTAAACTAAACAAACGTACTTGCATACTAGCAACCTTAAACTAAACAAACATACTTGCATACTAGCAACCTTAAACTAAACAAACATATTTGCATACTAACAACCTTACACTAAACAATCATACTTGCATACTAACACCCTTAAACTAAAGAAACATACTTGCATACTAACACCCTTAAACTGAACAATCATACTTGCATACTAACACCCTTAAACTAAACAAACATACTTGCATACTAACAAACTCAAACTAAAACTAAAACACGCGCCGTATTACTTTTTCGCATGAAGTGTATCGTAGCCTCGTCATCCGGTGTGTATGTAATAATGAGTTCATCTGTACACTCATCTTTGTATTGTGTGTGTAATGTATGGTGAGGTATAGCTGGTTGTAGTAATGTGTTCATCTGTACACTCTCCTTTGTATTGTGTGTGTAATGAGTGGTATTCATGTAATAATCAGTTCATCTGTACACTCTTCTTTGTATTGTGTGTGTAATGTATGTTATTCATGTAGTAATGAGTTCATCTGTACACTCTTCTTTGTATTGTGTGTGTAATGTATGTTATTCATGTAGTAATGAGTTCATCTGTACACTCTTTGTATTGTGTGTGTATTGTATGGTATTCATGTAGTAATGAGTTCATCTGTACACTCTTTGTATTGTGTGTGTAATGTATGGTATTCATGTAGTAATTAGTTCATCTGTACACTCTTCTTTGTATTGTGTGTGTAATGTATGGTATTCATGTAGTAATGAGTTCATCTGTACACTCTTCTTTGTATTGTGTGTATAATGTATAGTATTCATGTAGTAATGAGTTCATCTGTACACTCGTCTTTGTATTGTGTTTGTAATGTATGGTGAAGTAAAGGTGGTAGTCTTCTGCATGTAGTAATGAGTCCATCGGTACACTCGTCTTTGTATTGTATCTGTAAGGTGAGGTATAGCCACTAATTTTCACTGGGTTCTGCCGAGTAATCAGCCAGCAATGAATTGACAATGGGTCCGTTAGGGGCTTCTAAACATTTTGATCGAACAATACTGTAGAACTGATCTAGGTGACTCTGTGTGGGCATACATATGTAAATATCATATATCATATAATATGTGGTATCCAATAGCAGAACATG